TTTTTTTTTTTGATGTAATCTTAGTCACTGATGGTTTTAATTCACGCAGCAAGAACTCTTGAATAGGTGTTTTATGTCGTTTTTGTTCTGGGGTTTCATGTTCGGATAATTTAGAATTGTGGGTTTCACAAATGTAAGAGGCAGTATTTGAGACACAGTCTATGTCTGAAAGATTACTTGTTTGAAGTAATATTTAAGATTTTTCGATTTTACGGGAGTATTCCTCTGGTTATGAATGTCGAGAATTGAAAAGTTTTCGGTTTTTAATTTAATGGGTGTGCAGGAAATGGAGTTACTTCAGAACACTATAGGGCTGCAATTCAAGATGAACGAGAACTCTAATGTAAAATTTTCTTGTTTTTCGGGTGTGCCTTTGGGTTGGAGAAACAATCAGCAAAGCTGTACGGTATCCTCGAGTTTCGGGTATTTTTGCTTCTCCCAACAAAAACTCACGAACCCGATGATAATGGTACGTTTTTACCTTAAAACGATAGTTGAAGGTAAAATGTAGTAATTAGTAATGAATATGCTTGTGCTTAATTTCAAACCTGTGTATGGTATGGAACAGAGTGGTTTTGGTAGGAAAGGAAATCGAGTAAGTGTTTCCAAAATCGAAGAACTGCTGAGGTTTGGCAAGGGGGATGAGGATGATGACGATGAGGACGAAGAAAAATCAAGTGGGAGTGTTGGTAAGGATGGAAAGGAGAATCCTTTTGTTATGAATGAGGATGAGAGGAAGGAGTGGAGAAAAAAGATTAGGGAGGTGATGAGTCGAATTCCAAATGATGATGTTGAAGAGGAGATTGATCTTGTCGAGAAGCGGAAGAAAATGCAAAAGCTTCTAGCCGAATATCCGCTCGTGGTTGATGAGGAGGATCCTGACTGGCCGGAGGATGCTGCTGATGGGTGGGGTTTCAATTTGGGTCAGTTTTTCAACAAGATTAGCATAAAAAATGTTAAGAAGGATGTGGATGATGAGGGTTATGATAGTGAGAACGAGATAGTGTGGCGGGATGATGACTATATTCGTCCAATCAAAGACTTAACCACTAGAGAATGGGAGGAGGCCGTGTTTAAGGACTTCAGCCCTTTAGTGGTTCTTGTTCATAACCGTTACAAAAGGTACTTCTGGTTGTTTTGTTTCTTTGTATATATATTCATTATTTTCATGCTTGTGTGTATCTTGTTTTAAGTCGGTATATGCTGTTGCTTGCAAATATCATCTCATATTATGGTTTTTTTTTTTTTTTTTTTTTNTTTTTTTTGGAAAATGCTTCCTGCACCATTTTCCCCGACTCAGATTTATGTTGTGTGCTAATGCTTATGCAATATCCTTCAAGAGAAAGTATGATTTACAGGCTTACAGCGGTTCACTTCTGGTTTCTGAAGTTGCTGATGAATATAAATTTTGGATATTATGAATATTAATCTTGCCATGTGCTGTATGTTTGCTACATGTTCAATTAGAAGATTAAATCCATGAAATCTATATGATATGTTGGTCGGTTAGAATCGAACTGTAGCCCTTCCAAGTTCCAACTCAAATGCTTATATGTGTAGAATTGGTGATGGATTTTATGGGTCGGAAGTGTTGCAAGGCAGGTGATTGATATCACTAAATGTGTGCATTAGGTTGACGAGTTGTTGAGATTGCTTTTTTTAGAGCCGTTTCTTGCTGCAGATTTCGACCAAGTCTTGATAGTTAACGCTTATACTTTTGAATTTGTTCAAGATGACCCCCAAAGAGACACCGCTTAAACTTCTTATCAACATACAAGTTCTACTAGATCTTTTGTTTCTTCCAGCCATTCATTGGTAATAGTTTGAAAAAGAAAAAAGAAGAAAAATTTGTCTTTAGCTCTAGTTTCCTTTCTTATTCGTGTGTAATTTGATAATTTTGTAGAAAATAACATAAAAGAGACCTCTGGTGAGCAAGTTTCTTAAATGTTAATCTGGCCCGTAGCACATTTTATGTTCGTAAAATTGTTGGTGAATATCTTCAGACCAAAGGAGAATGAAAGGATCCGAGATGAGCTAGAGAAAGCTGTGCATATTATATGGAACTGCAGGCTACCATCTCCAAGAGTAAGTAAAATTTCATCCTTGGTGTCACACACACACACAGACACACACACACACACATATGTATATAATTATATAGTAGCCATCAATTTTTGACACACTGCTGACGGGCAATAGCAAACAGTGTGTTGCAATAGATGCCAACACAGAGCATGATTTGGTCTCTGCTCTACAAGTTTCTGTTTTTCCGGAACTCATTTTCACTAAAGCAGGGAAAATTATCTACCGTGAGAAAGGTAACATTTTATACTGTATCAATTATTCGTTTACCATCAGAAAGCTAATTTTGTTTTTTGGGCCTAAGTTTCTATTACTTGGTGTTCAGCAATCAAGACAGCTGATGAGTTGTCCAAGATAATGGCATTCTATTACTATGGAGCAGCCAAGCCCCCATGTTTAAGTGGGATCGAGAACATGGAAGAAGCAATTCCTATTGTTTCAAGTCAGATTTGAAAAATGATAAACCCCATCGGCAACGTCTTTATCTGACAGGTGATAGTAAAAACGATCATTGCTGAAACTTCAAGTGGTGTGATACACATATTGAGAAAGCATTTACGCGTGCCTGCCTGTTGGATGAGAAAGGGACAGATATAAGATATTTGGTGTGCAAGAAGGTAGTATGTTACATGGAGTTTATGCAGTTCTTCAAATCCTTTGAGACGGCAACTATGGGATTATACGGTTTCTCTTCAACTGGGGAGTCGATAGTCATTTTAGCTGGGGGACTCGAGATGTTTGTTTAATGTGCCCACTACTAATTTTCTTAGTCTATTAGAAAGAGGCTTACTCTGTAATTGTTTAAGGGATCACCTTACTTGATCTTTCTTTTGTTACAAGTCCCGTTATTACTCTGCGACATGCTCATTACAGATATTGCCATATTTCCCATGGTTTCATTTGATAGTGTAAACTCTCGGTTAATTTCCCATACGGTAGATAATACAAAACAAGCATTACAGTTACTTACCAAAACCACCATTAACTTAAACTAATAACTCACAAAAGAAGCATCTCAAGCTTTATGATGCATACTTATGCTAACTAGGCAAGGTGACTCACTTTCCATTTCCATTTCAGTTGAAAGCGCATCTTTTGATCAACATTTTTCGGCCAACATTGTTCGGCAACGCCAATCGGGATAAATACTCACTTTGCATACAACGCCATTCGACTCCATTTCGACCATAGGCCTCAATCATCCCGAAACTATTCAATAGCTAGAACTGAGTCTCGTGTTCCTATTTTAGAATTGGGATGGATACTCATTTGATCCAATCTCCAAATTCGAAAAATAAAAAAATGTGTTTTGTTTTTGGCCAAATCATACTTGGAAGTGTTATACATTAATACATATTGGAAATTTTGTGCTTTCGGATTTTGTTCTCCGATTTTACCAACTAATTATATATACAAATCCTATGAGAGTGGTCCACATTATCTATCTATATCTATATCTATCTATCAATCTATATCTATATCTATCTATATCTATACTTCTATACTACTCTAAAAGTATGAGTGTTTTTGTAAAAATATTTAATACCAAAAAGACCCTTACTTTGTCATATTTTAATGACAAATTTGTAATATAACTTTTCTAACAAGCATAATTATTATTAAATAAATACATCGGAGTTCAATTGTCTCTGCCATATTTTTAATTAAAAAATAAACTACCTAAAAAATCCTTACTTTGACATGTTTTTAATGACAAAATAGTAATATACTAATGTCCATCATATCTTATATTATTAATTAATAATTAATTAATTAATTAATTAAATGCAAATACATGAACAAATCATTCCACACTCCTAAAATAAATTTGTTTTCTTCCACATATCTCTACAACTGTTTGATAGGATATGAAATTGTTGTTTTGAAAAACGCCATTATTTTAATATAATTTTTATGGAAAAATTGTAATCACATTTCATAATTCTAATATATGAAATTCTTTAAAGAAATCGATATTGTTTTTTTATCAAAACGAACACAAAGTATAGAAACATTATTTTTAAAATAACCTATAAAAAATTTGTGATAGTATGCGAGATTAATTGTTGAATGATTGTTTTGCAACCTAAACTTCTAATCTATTCAACTTCTTTGCTACATAACATTTATGAAATTGTAGAATACTAAAACTTAATCTATTTTTTTCAAGTCTAATGAGATATCACTTTAGCAACATGTAATTTTGACCATATAATTATTTACAAATTAATTAAGAATATCTAGAGAATCATGATATGCCTACATGTTGAAAAATAATTTTTTTTTATCAAAAAAGTATATTCGTATATTATCATTACTCATCTATCTATTAATATGTGTTATTATAATAAAATGGTTTTAAAAAAATGTACGAAATAAAACATTTATATATTTGAGTATAAATGAGAAGATTATAATTATATATAATATAATAAAAAGATATAAATTAATTTATATAAATAAGACATATGACCCAAATAGTGTTATATGTTATAAAACTAGAGAAAAGAGAGAGAATAGAGAAAATGTTTCTCTTAGGTGTAATTTTCATTATAACTGAAGCTCCTATTTATAGGAAACTTCTGATGGCACAACCGTAATAATACAATTACATCAGGGGCAAAATAGTCATTCACATACATTATTTTATAATAACATTAATGGTGGTGGACCATATATATTTATAACACTCCCCCTTGAATGACTATTTTCTAAACATATTTGAATTATTTGAACAAAGTCCAATCTGCACATCTTTAAGTATATCTTGTGGCCATCAGATACCATTGCTTCAGCATGCCAGCAAAACCCGGTGGGACAAAAACCTGATCATCGTGAAATCATAACATTGCTTCCTCAGGAAAACCCGGTGGGACAAAACCTGAGTATTGTGGAAGCACAATATTGCTCCCCCTCAAATAGATCATCTTTTAGTGGAGTATCCACGTGCTGCCTCGTTAAAACCTTGTCAAGAAAACCCAGTGGGAAAAAACTTGATCGAAGGAAAAAGAGTACAGCTACTCCAGTATCATCATGAGGAATCATATCAATAATCCAGTAGTCCTCATCATACCATGAATATGCCTCGTTAAAACCTTATTAGGAAAAACCCAGTGGGACAAAATCCTAATGAAGGAAAAAGAGTACACTATTCATGTGAATACGCCATCCTTGTTGCCTCATTAAAAACCTTGCTAGGAAAACCCAATGGGACAAAACCTTAGCTAAGGGAAAAAAAGTACAACGCGTATTCTATATATTCACCATAATAACTTTGCCATATTTTTCATGAGTATTATATAGATTCATTCTAATTTTCCGATACTGGTGGTATTCATGATAATATGCTATATTATGCTTTTGTGCAACTTTCATTTTTAAACTCATTTTCATCATCAACCGATTTCAATGGTCTTACTGTCAATAGTTCTCAATATTCTCATTTCAGCCATTCTCATCAATATCATTTATATAGCGCTATTCATTTGTTTGTGTCGACACATATTCATTTCTATTGTTCCCCGTAATATATTGAGATATCTCATTATCAATTAATTTCATCGACAATATATATATGCCTCCTTTCATCACTTATTTGGGGAATTTCAATTTACACAATACCAACGCTTCCAGCGTATCTTTCCACCATCATATTATTTCATATATTTAACCACCATCAGTATCATTCAGTTTATGATTTGCACACTTTCAGTGTGATGCATATATCATAATTTCAATAATTGATTCTCCCTTTATCTTAACAGATCCCTGATCTGTATTTTCAGTATTGAGTTTCTTGAGGGGAGTTCATATAATCTCCATTTCGTTCTCGATTTCAACATATAATAGGAGGACTTTGAACTCATATCACTTGTAATGTGCACATTTTTCCTTCATGAGTTCATCATATGAGCTGATTATATTACTAGCTTCATCACTTTCATATGACACTTATTTTCATTCTTTTATAGCCATCTTGTGTCATTATTTGATCAAACCATCTCGTAACTTCAGGTTACGTGTCATATACACATTATTTGATCTCGTGTCATATACACATTCTTTGATCAAATCATCTCGTAACTGCAGGTTACGGTTCACACACATGTGGCTATCTAGTGGATCCATAATATCTAGTAGCACACATGGAGGGGTAGTGGGCCCATATATATCGTACCCCTTTCATACTCAGTTTGATCAAATATCGATTCACAAATATTTAGCTAGTAATAATTTAACCAATCGAGAACAAAACATCTCATAATCAGTTAATCATGCAAACCATCATCATTTATATCAGTAAACATCACAATAATTCATTGTGACTCATTAAACATATCACATCATCTTTCGGCGGCAATAAATGCACTTCAAGTGTAGATTCTGACCCACAATATTTGAATTCAGAATCGTATCACATGCGTATCAATCTTTCTGTCAGACAGACTCTTTGTTTTTAAAGTTGTATATCATACACATCATTTCTATAAATTATCATGCATTCCATTTAATCTTTACGAACAAAGGTCCGAATTTACATATGGATTTGGCACTCTCAAATATCCGTAAATATTATTCTTTTGTTCCAGTAAATATAATAAAAAGAATTTATCGGTCTCGAATAGAAAGATTGAGGGTGCTAATGATTAATAATATTCCAGGCGATATTCGATGGTTGATTGAAGCAAAAGTTCGATTGTCGGGAGAGTTTCCAAATTCATACAAATATATGTCAGGTATGGGTAAGAGTACTTTTTCAACGAAACGAAGAGCAAAACGATTAGGTGGATGCTTCAAATGCGCTCGATGGACTTGTGACACACGATGTAAATCAGTGGGGTTCGTGTCCAAAAATCGAGAAGATAAAATAGCATTTATAAAGGATGGATTGAGTAAGGAGTCTATGGATCAAACGATTCACCAGATTCTTGAGACACATCCTAGTGGGTATGTGCATCGTGAGCTTCTGTCTCTATGGATTCGTTTCAAGAATGAAGAAGAACAATATAGTCTCGAAAATATTGTTTCAAAAGATCAAGTTTGTAAAACTAGTCTTTGTTAGTATGAAAAATCATACTAATGAAGTTTAGTAGTTGCACTGTAATTTTCAGAGAATCTTATAGCTGCCGACAGATAAGATTTATTTAAAACCCAACACCTTATCTGTCAGTTGCAATTGTCAGAAGAAAACAGTAAAATTATTTATCGCTTTGTAAAACTTTCTATTTAAATAGCGAGTCATTTATCATAATCATATGCCTCACAAACTTTTGAAAAATTAAGTTTATCAATAAATAGATGGATGTTTCAGAGCCTTCGCAAGGTAATAAATTTTTTCAGCCGATCAAAACCATATGTGTTCTTGGTGGTTCTAGACTGGTAAGTTTTCTCAAAATGTTGATATTGTGAGTCAGTTAGTAAGGGATGTGGGAAATCAAAAAATCACTTTACTG